ACCCCATGCATGTTAAGCACGCACTCTACCATTGGGCTATACCTTCCCCATTAGAATTGCTTTCTTGCTAATAGGTTGGTGATGCATTTGTAAGAAAACTATTGTATAAGTTATCTATCATTGCATAACAAATTCCACCAATGCTTAGTGACTTAAAAAAAACCCCCAACAAATACTTATTATTGTACATTGTTTCTGGGGGTCAGGAAATCAAGTGCAGCTTATCTGGGTAGATCTGGCCCCAAGTGTCTCACTAGGCTGTGGTCAAGATGTCAGATACAGATACTGAAGTCTGATTAGTCCTGGAGGACCTGCTCCCGAGGTGACTTGCTCTCATGGGTGGCAAGTCAGTGCTAACTCTTGGCAGAAGTCATCCCTCGTCTCAAGGATCTCCCCAAAGGGCTGCTGGAGTGGGCAGTTCAAGAGAGAGCAAGGCAGAAGCTTCAATGCCTTTTTGTGACCTAGCTCAGAAGTCACATACCGTCATGACCACAGCATCCAACAGGCTACACGGGTCAGCCCTATTCAGCGTGGAGGGGACAATACAAGGGCGTGATGCAGGGGACAAGGACAACCTGGGGCTGTCTTAGAGCCTGCCTACCATGACCAGGGAGAATTTGTTTTGTTTTCAGCCATAAAGCCTTCCTTATCTCATAAATCCCTAGACATACAGAGTAGGAAAGAAATTCCAAGGTCAGTTAGTCCAAATATCCAGCTCACATGAATCACTTCTTTAAAAGCATATCACTTGGTGGGGTGGGTATAGCTCAGTGGTAGAGCACATGCTTAGCATGCATGAGGTCCTGGGTTCAATCCTGGTACCTCCATCAAAAAAGATAAATAAATAAACTTAATTACCTCCCCCTACCAAAACAAAAAACAAAACACCCCCACCAAAACCAAACATACATAATAAATAAATAATTTTAAAAAGTATATCACTTAAAAATCTTTACTGACAATTTAAAACTGAGTTGCGTAAGGCCTGTCTCATTTACATTAGAGCCTCAATATATCTGAAGAGCGGAAATCCTGCCTTAGGAGGAATCCAGCTTTCTGAAACTCTTAGAACATCTTGCCTGCTTCTTGGCACACAGTTAGGAACACATACATTTTTGTAAACTTGACAAATTGTCAACTAGCATTTGCAGATCAGCTCACCGGTTAACAGTCAGTGCCCCCCTTAATCTGATGTTTCTGTGTGTTTTGAAAGCCCAGGCTCATGGAAGTGGCTGACCTCATAAGTTTAGGAGAAGTCAGTTGTATGGTGAATCCCTCCACACTGAGGTTGAATTTCAGAGCCAAGTGGGGTATAGAGAACCAAAAATATTGCCAATGTCCTTGTCCAGGGATGCTAGTAGTGAAGTGCATTTGCCAGAAGCAACATGTATAAATGGTGAGGCAGGATGTCAAAGATGGTGGAGAACACAGGTACCTGCTATGATTTTTAGGCAAGTCCTCCAATCACCTAAACTCTCTGGGTATGGTTTCTTTATCACTTAATTGGGATAATAATGCCATGAGTTTTCAAAGATGTGAAGCAACTGGAACTCTCCATAAGTAACCATAAATGAACCATAAATAGTTAATAATCACTTTACAGACTACTGGCCACATCCAGTATAGTTAACGATATAACATTCACCTCATGAGAGACACCCCGGCAGTTCTACTGTTGGTCTGACCTTAGAGCAGAAGTTCTCAATCCTGATTGCACCTTAGAACCACCTGGGGGAGTTGTTGGGGATTTTTTTTGTTTTTTGTTTTAAAGTCCTGATGTTTCAGCTCCGCCCTCAGGGATTAAGATTTCATCAATTCTGGGATGAGGCCCAGAAATTGGTTTTTTTAAAAAGCTCCCAAGGCTATTTTAATGTGCACTCTGCCAAAGAAAATCTCACACGGACAGACATCCACCTCGTAGCAAATATATACATAAAACCAAGGAGGATTAAGCATCTGAATGTAAAAAGAAAGTCTTTAAAATTCTTTACCTATGACCTTGGGATACAGGATTTCATAAGACTCATACACGGAAAAAAAACGATAAGAGAGACATATTTGTCTTTGAAATGTAAATGTCTTGTATTTGAAAAGACTTCATAAACAAACAGAACAGATAAGCCACAGACTGAAAGAAGTAATTTGGCAAATCAGATAACCAAGCAAAGGATCAGGTTCAGAATATAAAAAGAATTCAAATGTGTTAGTAAGAAAAAGATGAATTATCTCATTTCCATGAGATTATTGTAAGGAGAATAGATAAATAAAATGGGCATAGTTACACGAGGAATTTTTCAGCAGTAAAAAATGAATCAGGTCTATATTAACATATATATATTTTCATATATGTGTCTGTATTAACATGAATAACTTAAACACAATGTTGATCAGTAAAAGCAAGACCTTCAGAATGATACAGTATGACACGAATTTTCTGAAAAAAATTTGAAACGCATAAATCAATACTATATGTGTTTATGAATACCTACACAGGTTGTGCAAGTATAAAACACACGGATCTGAAAAACACTATCCTAAATTTTATTTTTACCTCCAAGAAGACAGGGAAATAGGATCAGGATTTCCAACAAATCTGTAGTATTTGAGGTGTTCAGCTGAAGTGTAAAATACATGAATGTTGTATCATCATCTATATTTCTTTGTACGCTTAAAAATAATATACAAATCATTGAACAATCTAAAAATTAGCTCTAGCATCTTTTGGGGGCTAATCCTCTAGAACCACAATAGTCTTTTTGGTGTGACACCTTGATCTGATTATCCTGGTTTTGTAAACTGTCACTTGAAAGAGAAGGCACATGAACTTGTAGAGAAACCAAAGCTGAAAGTCTTTAGTTCATCATAAGCGGTAAATATTAGGGTTTTAATTTTCTACGTGTGATAAACCCTAAGCACCCGTTTGGGGGCGCCAGAGGACAGCACAGGCCAGCCGATCCAGGGTTCTCCCTGGGGAACAAACAGGCATGTTCATGTGTTCTGCTCTGGTTAATAATCAAACCACCAGTAGGTTCTCACCTCCTGAAGTGTCTTGTGATGACAGTAGCCCGTGCTACCTTTAACGCCCTTGGCTTCATATAGTAAGGTTTTGCGGAGCCCCTGAAATGCACTTTATTTTTGACTTGAATACTTAAGAGCTTTGAAAACTGAGCCAAGGTGGGAATGGTTCTGCTGTTGGATGGGGTTACAGAAAATTTATTTGACTGAGCCTTTGTACTTTCTGACACCCCCAGGATCCTCATAATCCTTGATAAACATGCTTTTTTCATGTCTTGAGAAATTGTCATGTATCAAAGGATAATCTGAAAGAAAAACAGGGATGATCAAGGTCATTACCCAAATATTATAAAGAAAATTACGTGTAGACAGGTAGAACCCTGGTGAAAATGGAGAGTGAGCAGCTTTCCTTATCTAAGAGGAGGGTCTTCTGAGAGGTCTTGTTAAAATCATCTGGGCAAGTTAGGAGGAAGTCTTCCCATTTTATAGCAAAGAGAAAAGATCATCCAAAAGTCCCCTCTCCTGAGTCCCCTAGACTGGTGCTGTCCATTAGAACGTTCTGTGATGATGGAAATGTTCACATCTGCAATGTACAGTAAGGTGGCCACCAGCCACGTGTGGCCATGGAGCACTCAAGAATGGCTAGAATGAAGAACAGAAATTTACATTTTGTTTAATTTCAGTTTTCTTCAATTTGAGTAACCACATGTGGCTGGTTGCTACCCAAGTGGACAGTGCAGGTCTAGATATGTTTAAATGCATATTTTTGTGTTGTGCCACTAATACATGCACTACAGAAAATCAGATGCATGTTAAATTCAAATTCGGGTG